GTGAGGGGTAGAGTTTACATTCAAGATTTCTCCTAAAAACTGGAACTAACTCAGATCCTGACTACAACACGTTTAAAGATGAGGGTCAGTTTCTTTATTGGTCCTTTAGATCTAATCTGAAGTTCATTTTGCGAGATGGTGGTTACTGTCAGGAAAAATGACTCAGAATGTTCGCACACAAATGCAAGGATCGATGCATGACGTGACTGAATGATGGAGGGAAGGTTGAAGAGTGTGAGGAGACGGTGAGACACATGAGGTTTAATACGAGAGGTAACGAGGATGATGGGAAACAGGTGTGGAGACACAATCAGGCAACAGGTGTGACAAGAACCAAACAGGAACAAGAGTTAGAGATCTACAAAATAAAACAGGAAGGACATGAGACGAAACAAAACGTGAATGTGCAAAAATAAAATAAACTTAACCGACATGACAGTTTCTTAAAACACACACTCAGGAGTGTTTGTCTGTGAGATTCTTCAGCCCTCATCAGGACTGGATGGACCTGGATCTTCAGTCCACAGGTGTTGCAGAAACTCCTCTCTCTCTCTCTCTCTCTCTCTCTCTCTCTCTCTCTCTCTCTCTCTCTCTCTCTCTCTCTCTCTCTCCTGATAAACATTTTTGTTCTTCTTTATAAACTCTGGCACAGCGTCTCACTTCCTGCCGAAGTACGACGTTCCCGTACGACGAGGAGATAACCTTGACTGAACATAAAAGATTCAAACAGCGTGATGTATCACCGAGCAACACACAAGTATGAAATGTTTCCCAATGAGGTGAAATAAATGGAGATAAATGCAGCAGGAGGAGAAATATGTGCAGGATCTGCTTTTAAAGAAGAGAGGATTAAGTGATTTAAGGGTGAAGACGCCAACAAAAGACACTGATTTGTTGTGTTAAATAATGCATAAACACTATCATTCTTTCTTTTCTGCTTTATTCTCAAACTGAAGAGTTATTCAGGAGGAACTAATCTGTTTTTGAAGACTTTGGGTTTGTTTTTTTTTGGATTATTGTATTCAGATTAAGCAGCCAGTGTATTGATCAGACACAAAGCTGAAGGCTAACGTTGGTCTTTTGCATTAATCCTCTTTAATCTCCGACCATCCTGAGCTCATTTAAAATCAAACTGCAGCATCTGCTCCTCATCCTCACATCCATCCATCTGACCGCCGCTGCCGCCGCCGCCTCGTCCTTTGTTCTGCTCGCTTTCATCTGCTGCTGCTGCTCCTCCATTTATTCTCATCACATGCAGCAGGTGGACGACACACACACACACACACACACACACACACACACACACACACACACCTAACCTTTTCAGTCCATGATGGTCAATAAGAGGAGAGTCTCCTCCCTGCAGCTGGGCTTCGGTCAGAGTCTGCAAACAACAAATGACAGAGGGCAGCACGTGTCCCCCCCTCTGATTCTGAGCTACACTATACTCATGTGTGTGTGTGTGTGTGTGTGTGTGTGTGTGTGTGTGTTTGCCTTGACTTGAAGGCTGTAATTATGAAATAAACCGAGCAGGGAGAGTGTGTTCCTCCTCACGCGTCCTTGCAGATCTCCTCCCTGGAATATCTCATCAGCTGCTCCTGACTGCTGCTCAGCCCAGTCTGGGTCTGATGCAGATATTTCTGCACAAACTGCTGCATTTTAATTTAATATGAACTCGTTTAAAGGTCCCAGAAAAAGAAAAACACATTTTTCCTTGTCTATGCATATGATACTTAGTCAGGACTGCAACCCTGAGACTGTGGATGTGAAATGAGTCTCTGTGTTTTCTGTGGAAATCAGCTTTAAATGAGCTCCTGTGATGATGTCACAACAGGAGTCATTTGCATGCAAAGCCACTCCCACTCCTCAGAGGGACCACCAATTTCCACCTTCATCCTGATCGTCTCCTAAAAGTTCGTATCCTCCGATCGTAGCTGATCGTAACCATTCAAGTTAACGTGTCAATTTACACCGACTTCTTTCCGTTCCTCTGCGGATCGCCGGAGCATGGTGGATAAATTCAGCACAGATTAACCCGTGCTGGAAAGGAAGTCGGGCACAGACACAAAATAAAACAAACGGCTTCTTTTCAATTGACCTCGAAATTTTCCCTCTATATAATACAGAGAATTAAAACTCACTCTACTGTTATTTTTAGATCACTTTCATTGTACTTTTTAACTTTTCTGAAGGAAAAAAAAATGTACGCAGAATCTCCATTTATCAACAGATGGTTTTGCTTTTATTCCACATTTCCTAAAAGAGGCGATGGTCGGCTGTCGTTCTTCTCCCTTTGATAAGTAGCGAGAGATTTCTTCGTAAAATTCGTCCATGTTTTTTTTTCGAAAGAACTACAATCCCATGAAACCTAATCTGCTGAAAACCGATTCTGGAATGTCCAAACCAACCACAATCTTCTACGTCATCCAAACCAACTTCCAGCCAATCATATAGCGTGATGGAAAAAGGATAGTGGACAAGGACAGTGGTTCCAACATGGAGCCTTGGGGAACACCTTCTGTAATGTGGAGGAGGAGACTCGTTTGAGCAGATCTTCACACGTTATTCTGCAGATTAGAAACATACCAACTGAAAGGTTGTTAGGAAGAATCAGATTTAGATAACTGGATTTATTAACCCTTTTAGAAACATGTTTTAATTTAGACGGCAGAATTAAAATGTTCTCCTAACTTTGGGAGAGTTTGTGAGGAGCTAAAAGAAGACCAAAAAAAAGAAAAAAGTCTGGGATCTTGTCATCTATCTCCTGAGGTGGTTTTCTTCAGTGTCATATCCAATAATGTGCGGAGCAGCTAATGTGAGCCCCTGAGTCAATAACAGAGTATACTGATGGTACTGATCAGTAAACACAGGATATTAAAGGAGACCCCTCTGAGGGAATAGAAGTGCGAACTTGTCATTACATTCAGAGACCGAATCACAGCTCCTGATAGGACTTTAACACCTCTCAGCTTCACTCTGCTGCTGCTGGAGGATTGTGGGTAACTAGCTGTGTAAAGATTGATGGCACAGTTCATCAGCACTTACATCATAATCAGTCTCTCCTGGCAGGACGTTTGTTGTTCACATGAGTGGAGCGGACTCAGAGGAGCAGAAAGGTGTGAATGTTTCCTGACACTATTATCAGGAGTGTTAATGAGGTGGAGAGGGTTCACTGTCTGACCCTCCAACCGGCCAACACCTCCACAGAGCCGGGCGGAAGAGGAGGAGGAGGAGGATCACCTGTGGACTCAGAGAAGAGCTTCAGTTTCAGGTAGAAATCTAAATAAACATCAATCTAAATACGAGCTGAGATCTCCCTGATGGTCTGGGGGTCATCAGCGTCCATGTCCTGGGTATCTTCACATCTGTGAAGGTTTCATGAATGCTGGACGATATCTACAGGTTCAGGAGCATCAGGACTCTGTCGTTGGAGTCATAGGTTTAATATCACTGTCCTGAGGTCTGATGAATCTAAATCTAACGGCTAAAACCCACAGGATCCGGAACGGCTCTGCTCTGATCCGGAACGGCAAGCCAATCAAATACACAAGCATCATAATCAATGTGTGTCATTCCACACAATCCGTCCGGCTTCGCTGCGGATCGGCTCTGGCAGTTGGATCAGATACGCAAGGCTTCTATTCTTGCCGGATGCCGCAGCACGGCACATCAATTCAGTGCAGCGCAGCGTGGGATGTGGTTGTTTATAAACACCGCCGATCTCATTCAATGACTCAATGGGGAAAAACTCAAGATCTAATGAGATCTCGTCCAGTCTCGTGAGAAATATCCATAATATCGAGCACTTCCCCTCCACTTGCTGCAGTGGATCAGATCCGGTGGATGCTTGCGTATTTGATCGACCTGCCAGTCCGGAGTGGAGCGGAGCGGAGCAGAGCCGTTCTGGATCCTCTGGAATCCCGGGTGACACTCTTTTGGAAAGGGTAATTGGAAAGGTTACCCCCAATTTCCACCCCATCCAGAACGGCTACGAAAAGGCCGTATCCCCTGATCGCAGCTGATCGTAACCATTCAAGTTAACGTGTCAATTTACACCGACTTCTTTCCATTCCGCTGCAGATCGCCGGACTGCACAGCTGATTGCCAGAGTTCTATTTTTTCCGGACGCTGGAGCACAAATAAAACATCCAGCTTCTTTTCAAAATAAAACATTCTGTTTTATAGGCAGATCCTATTTCACACCATGGAAATGAGCGGAGACGAACAAGTGGTAAGCCCATGTGGCTAGGGACAACTTGTTATCGCGTGATTGCACGTGAATCCGCAGGTTCTTGTGAGTTCTTGCAATTCCTGCTGTCTGTAATCTGCCACGGAATTCACCTCACAAATGGATCTGGTAGGAATTGGCGGATGGCGAAAATCTGCGCCATGCCGGATGGGGTAAAAATTGGGGGTTACACTTACCCTTTCAACAAAGGACTGGAAATCATAGATGCTGCATCCTCAGAGTTTGAACTTTGAACCTTTGCATATCATGAACTTCTCTTCATCACTTGTTGTGTTTCCTGTTCCTGTGTCAGTTTTTTGGGAGTCATGTAAAATCTCTGTCTTTATCCGCCTGGTACCACTCCTTCCTCCTCAGTTTTAGTTCGCAGACCCACCCCCCCCATCATTGTGAACCATAAAGCAGCAAACACATTTATTTAAATCCAGTAAAATGTTCCTGATCATTACTTTAACCATTGCCATTTGTCTGCAGTTACTGCAGCGTCCCTGAGAGACGATTCATTACAATGATCCATAATGTGATCGATACATTAGTTTGCTGGCTGTACCCCTGGACACAGAGAGGTGATAATGTCTGCCTGCAGGAAAAATACATTGTGCTGCTGCTGCTGCTGCTGCATGATTGCTCACCCAGTGCCAAACGCCGGCTCAATACGTCTGCTGGATGAATCAATAAAGGCTCCTGCTGGATTTTACACTTGAATGTCTGAATTTCATGTGCAGAGTTCGTCCCGGCCACCGTGCACGCATCTTTCTGAGCGGTAAACAATCAAATTAAACACCATCATTGTTCTAAGTGGGCTCTTACTGCTGCTTACACTCTGCTGTTGTCTAAACTCCTGTTTCTGTGCAGTGCTACAGGAGGTCAGACCTCATCAAGCTGTCCCACTTCTACCTCCACGGCGGGCTCAGGAGTGCGAGCAGAGAGGTAATGGAAACTGAAAAACACTGATAAGACCTATTTGCATAAGCAACACGGCGCCTGAATGCAAACTGAGCAGCTCTGTTCAATTAGAGCGTCCATCAAAGCTGCTTCTGCTTCAGCCCGAACACGCACACTCTCCTCATTCTCCTGCAGAAACTACAGCAGACACTCGGAGGAGGAGAGAGAGAGTTCATCCCACTCCTGAGTTTGAATGCAGACAGTATAACGTTCAGGTTTATAGTAGCTAGCAGTCACATTTACAGGCACATAAGAAACCCGATACAGCGTGACTTTATTCCGCTAAATGATCTGTAAAATGGAAAGTCATGGAAAGTGAGCACCGAGCATCCTTTTTATATGTTGAAGGATTGTTCTCCTTTTACTGTCAGCTTTAAAGCAAAGTGAGGAGATCGTAAGAAGAACGGGACCTGACCCGCTCCGACCTCAAAGACGGAGGAGGACTTTGTGGGCTGATTGAGACTCTGAGACGTCTGTCAGCTCCTCGCAAAGACACATCGACAACCCCGGTATTCAGCCAATAGTTATTAGTGTTTCATCTGGATGTGATCAATGGCTGTAAATCACTCCACAGAGGAGCTGTATTGATTTCTGATTGGTTCTCTCCATGTGTCGTGTCCTCATCATTAACTTCATGCTCACTTTGTTTCGTCAGGAACAATCTGCTGATTCTCCAAAAACCACCTTTTAATCAGATTCAAATAAAAACGCCTGAAACTTTAGAAATAAGTAATAATCTGGATTAGAAATTAAAAGGATAAAGATCACACAGCTCTAACGAAGGTTGTCTGTTACAATTTAGTAACGGTCTGTTATCCTCTAATAAAGGTCTGTTATCCTCTAATAAAGGTCTGTTATCCTCTAATAACGGTCTGTTATCCTCTAATAATGGTCTGTTATCCTCTAATAATGGTCTATTATTCTCTAATAAAGGTCTGTTATTCTAAACTTAAGGCTAATTTATGCTCAGTGTTACATACAGACAGAGCTCTCCATTTGTTCTTTGCGTTCTTGTGGTCTGTACTTCTGCACGTATCCTTGAAGTTTATGAATATGGGTTAGAAGGAGCAGTGCCACCAGAAACCGTTACTACCTGATACGCATCTCTAGAGAGAAATGAAGAAGACAATCGCGGGGCTAAAAATAACAATCGTTGTCAATTTCTCTCATCGGTGCTATGAGAGAAAATAATTCTCTGTCCTCTAACTGCGCGACGTTCAGTGGCGCGACCAACCACCGCCCACTCCAACGCTGCCTCCATTTCTGTCTCCTATGTTTTCACTTGCTCCTCCACAGTCGCCATGTTTCTTTTTGTTTGATGTTGTTAGAAACTTTTGACTCCTGCCTGCCCCCTGGTGGATGTAATGTTTAACATCCATGCCAACGTAAAGGACGCATGAAAGTATGTGGGCGGTGACGGAACCATGGTGTACATTTTCATACGTATGGCGAGCACAAATGAGCCTTAAAGGTCATTTTCATGTCTGTTTACCCCCCCTGCTCAGCTCTCTCTGTGGTTCTTTGTTTTGCAGGTTTTCTGAAGTGTCCTCCTGCTCCCTCTGCCTCCTGCTCCAATAAGCTCTCATTAATCTTCATCACAGCCTTCGTTAATGCTGCTGCCGCTCCTCTTCTATCCTCACTTTGCAGAATATTATATTGACTTCTGTGTTCAGGATAGAAACTCTGTCTTTAGTTTTTGTGGTTTATCCATTTTGAAGACTTTGATTTTCGATGAGGTTTTGGGACGTCTATAAATACTTCGTCATCAATAATTCACCCACTAAATTCAGATTCCCTGAACTGAAGTTACATTTGGTTTCTACACCTAAAAAAACTTTCACAGCTTCTCAGACAAAAAATGAGAGAATGAAAAAACAGTGATCTGATTTCATAAAGTCTACCATGAATACAAATATGTAAATTTCAAGAATCAGCTTCTTCTATTAGTTTTGACCCCATCAGACCAGATTAAATAAAACACGTTAAGTTTCAAACTTCAGTTTTTCTCCTTATGCAAGTCTTCCCCCTGAGCACAGAGGTTAATTAGGGAGGGTTGCATAAAACCTCTTCGGTTGTCTCCTTGCATTAGAGTCCAGGCGGCTGATTCATGAACGGATGCAGCACCCCAAGGACCCTCCAGGAAACTGAAGAGGTGATTTTTGGGGTAAAGATGTTATTCAGCTATAATTCCTGAAAACAAATATATATATCTATCAGTTCAAAATATCAATATACATTTTATTTCTCATCCATGTTCCGGAAAAATCTTCTAACTTCTGCACCGTCGTGATCTTGAACATCTCCTGTATCTCCACATTTGTATGTCAGGCCGTACCGTTCCAATGTCCGCCCAGAGAAGAGGGGGCTGCTGGGAGTTTCACCTGAGATGACAGATGAAAACAAAGTGGAGATCCATCTATCTCTCTCAGCTGATCAATACCTGCAATAAGAGAGTGATAACACCTCCTCAGTCTGCCCTCGGAGCTTTTCCTGTGCTGGGAGCTGAAGGTGATCGATGGACGCCCCCTATGTTCCCGTATGAAGCTGCTGTGGACTCTGCTGGAGTGCAGCTCACGCTCTCGATTGAACACAGAAGCTCCGTTTCTCTCCAGCTTTGAGGAATCATGGGAAAAAACCTGATTGGAAAGATGGTGAGAGGGTGAGTGACAGCTGGTATTGATCAGCTGATGTGTGCAGAGCCGAGGATTAAGGTGCATCAACACCTGAAGCTGACGGGTCGAAGCTGCTGACACCTGTGCAGGTTAAACAACGTATGCGGCTCATAGACTCAGGTCTGCAGGTGAACTGGGAGGGATCATATCACAGCCCGAACAGTTAAATACTCATCATGGGTCCCCGCCCCCCCGCCCTTCACCTGACTAATTATGATGGTTTAGACATGAAACAGGTTTTAATACCAGCAGAGTCAAAAATCAATCAATCATCTGCATGGATTATCACCTTTCCCATCAACCCACTCACCATCCAGACGTCAGACTGATGAAGAAGGTGCCATCAGTTCCTTATCTGCACCATTCTTGACGTGGTTAGATTTGACTTTATTTTATTTTTGATAAAAACTTTCATTAACTTTGTTTGAGGGGCTTCATGGTCGAAGATTCAAGTCCAGACTCTAAATCCTCATTCACTTCTTCTCTTATTTTTGAAACACAGACAGCAGAAGATCATCTTGGCTCCTGTTTTTGGAGACTTCAGCTCCATCCATCCTGAACTTTAAACGAACATCTCTGACCATCTGCGTCTGTCTGGCTGCTGTGAGAGACTCAGCTTTCCTGTCGCTGCAAACTGCTCACAGATTTGTGAGGAAATGATCCGTGCCTTAACTGCTGGGCGGTGAACTCTGGAGCTCTGACGGTGCACACCCGGATCTGGCAGCTCACGCTGAGCCGAAGACCGGAGGGGAGATCCAACCAGGAGGAGATCTGCAGATACACGTCTCTTATCAACGCTTAAAAATAATAATAGTAACAATAATCGTTATTTCAGTCCTTGAGGCTCAGAGCTTTTACGAACACAGAGAATCAGCTGCTGATTTTCACGTCAAGAAAGAAACAGGAAGGAGAGGGGGGCTGTTTTTAAACGTAAGACCCTCAAAAATGGAGGATGGGAGTTTGGTGCTTCTTAGGAGATCCTGGTCCTGAAAAGCTGTCGTTGCTCCACAGACAGGAGGTGGAGTTTCAGTCTGGAGTCTGACCTGAAATCCTCTTTAACAAACTTGAACAAACTCGAATGTCGTCTGACATGTGAACGAGGAGGAGGAGGAAGTCCATCCGAGCTCTTCCTGTCTGTACTCAGTATTGATTGGTGCAGATGTGATTGTCATTAGGCCTGCTGCCCTCAGTCTGAGAGTCCCTGTGAAGAAGAGGAGAAGGAGGAGGAAGAGGAGGAGGAGCAGGAGGAGGCATCTGCTGGAGCTGAGACTCTGGAGTATCCTGCTGGAGCATCTGCTGTGCTGACAGGTGGAATAAATCATCAGCTCCACTACAGACCTGGTCCAGTCTGCAGCTCTCTGCTCAGGCCGGTGAACAACGCTGCAGACTCCTGCAGACAGACACAGAAAACAGGACCAGGACCAGGTCTTAAGGATCCAGAATCACATGTACGTGGTCTGTGTGTTTTCATGATGTCATTGTGTCTGAAAGGTTTTTATTGACATTTTTAATCATATCACAGGCTCATAGAAAGTCTAACTAACTATCTGTTCATCTACTTAAAGTGAAAATATCTTCAATTTTCTTCTGCAGGTTGAAACTCAAACAGAACTGAGTCAGAGAGAGACTGTCGGTGCACCTCAGGGCTCAGTCCTGGGTCCTCTTTCCTTTTCATGCACCCCTCTGTGTCAACATGATTAGTAAAAATACAATACTTTTAACACAGATGCTGACAAAACAGACTCATACGTCTGTCAAAAATGTTTTTTCTTTGATTTGAATAGTTTTAATTGATCCGGAAACAAACAAAACCACATGGTGCAGAAGGAATCTGGACTCAGGGAGCAGAGAACACGGTTTCAGTCACGTCATTATTTTAAGGTTTGTGAAAGAAGAAAGTCTGCATGATGGAGAGTCAGAGTCTGCAAGGTTGAAGCAGATTTGTAAGGAGGGAGTCCTTGGTGTTCTGGCCTCCCTTAAAATCAGAAACTCCATGATGTTTGGAGACTGAGGCCAAAGGGGGGCGCTGCCACAAACTCAGGACACAACATCAAAGTCTGTTTAATCAGGAGCAGAGGTGGGTACACAGACAGAGGTACAGAAAACAAAAAACCCACTAAACTCAGGTCAGAAACCAGGAGGACCAAGACCAGACCTCTGAGTGGAGGGACACGGTGATCCGGGTCAGAAGGAAACAAAGTAGCCAACAACTGCGTCGTATCACACAGCAGCTCCACCCAACTATAGCACTTTAACAGGTGAAGCCGACAGCACTGTTGGTGAGAAACAAAGAAAATGAGTGCTACCCCCGACAGAAATGACCATGAAGGCTCAACAGATGACCACATCAATGTCAACCACAACACTGGCGTTAGGAAAACGTCGGTGGTGTGGAGGTATTTTGGTTTTTGGAGGTCGGACATGAAGCAGAGTAATGTGGACTGTAAATTATGTCGAGTACATGTTCTCACAAAGTCGGGGAATACCTCAAATCTTTTTCACCACCTGAAGCAGCGCCACGCCGCAGAGCACGCGCAACGCAAAAGGTTACAAACCCCGAGAGGAGCGAGGAGCCGAAACAGACGACCATTCAGTCGTCTTTCTCTAGAGCAACGCCTTACGACAAAACGCCAAAGAGACACAAAGACCTCACAGATGCAGGAGATTATTGTGTTGGAAAAGACATGAGACCAATAAACACTGTTAGATTTTTAGATCCTGATATTGATCCATATCAGCTGATAGGAAAATAATACATGGTGATAATCTTTTTTCTAAATTGCCCAGCCCTTAGCAGAGGTTTTTATCAGCACTGCAGAGTCCAGCAGGTCCTCTGTGAGGGACTCTGACAGGAGTCCTCTCAGTTTGTCTCAGGGGCCACAGGGGACTCTGACAGGAGTCTGGTCATTAACCGGGAGCTGGCTCATCACTGCTGTGAGGCTCTGCAGAGAGAAGAGGAGTCAGGGGAGCAGGAGGAGCAGGAGGAGCAGGAGGAGGAAAAGCCAAGGTCTGTAAGTCCGTCTGACAGCAGGGGGATCAGGGGACGTCTCACAGTCCTGTCCCTCATGGTTTCTGACAACATCTAAAGGGTCATGGAGGGTTTGATCCGAGGAGAGCACGAGATGGAGGAGACACTCGCTGATGCTCCTGGGAGGACTCTCGGACCGTCATTAGACTCACAGTCCAGACTCCTGATCCTCCTTCTGAACCCTAAACAGTTTTTACTCCTTGAGCAGTCCTCCGATTTAATCCAGTCTGATAGTTTAACTCTGATCATGTGACAGTAGAATAACCAGGCTCATAGGTCAGAGGTCAGACGGCGGACAGCTCATGCAGACTCATGCTGAGGGAGTCGTCACGTTGTGTTAGCCTGACAGCGTCACACTTTCGAGGGTCAGTGAAGAGGAAGGAGAGGAAGAGTGTGAGAGTCGCTTCTTTCACACCCTGACCTTTTCTCTGCAGCGCTCAATAACAGGCCCGTCGTCATGGCAACGCTCGCTGAACTGAAGTCCAGACCCGGGAAAGAGCGGAGGCTGCAGATCACACGTTGTTAACTCCTCTGTCTCATATCTGAACCGCTCAGAGGATTCAGAGGGGGTCAGTTCGGGTCCTCAGGACTTGGACTTGGTCTTCAATCATACCTGAGGTTTCTCCTGTTGTGTCCTCCTGTCTCTGTCTCTCCTCCTGAGAGTATTTTAATTCATAAGTGAATTAAAATTGTTTTAAGTGTCTGAGCGGAGCTGAAAGTGCAGAAAATCTCTCCTCGTCTTTAACCCTCAGCTCCAGCCTGCTTTGTCCCCAAAACAGACATGCAGATAAATTTTTATAAAAGAATCATTTTTAAACATTTTTTCCTGCTTTTTTTGACTCAAATCTCTTAAACAACTTCAGCTCTGATCATTAAAAAAGTAATTGATAAAAAATTCAGATTCAGAAAACTTTATTGATCCCAAAAGGGCAATTCATTTGCAGCATTTCAAGAGCAGCTCACACATACATAAAATCACATGTCAGTCCATTCCAGTCACAGTGGAACCCAGATCGAACCCTTACAAATATAACACACTACGAGATCAAAAGATGCCTCCCCTAGAATTCAATAATGTAATGGCGGAGGGCACAAAGGTGTTCATAAACCGGTTCGTTTTCCTAGCCGGAGCATAAAACCGGCACCCTGAGAGCATCAGGACAAACTCTGGGGTCAGCGGATGGAGCGGTCGAGCCAGGAGACACTTTGCTTTACTCAACACCTGCTGCTCCCAGAGAGAATGTCAGTTTTTGTTCACCATGTCATATTTATTGATAAAGTGTTCGTTCTAAACAGCTGAGTCTATTGGAGCAGAAAACACGTCATTTTAACCTCCTTTTCTCGAGCCTCGTCCTCTACCAAACAAATGGATCAACTTCATGTGTTCATAATAAATTAATTTTATATAAAGGCATTTAAAATCAGAAGATATATGTAAGATAGGAATCATTTATAAGTGTTTATCCTCCTCTAACCAAAATATGACCGTGATTACTCTGATATAAAAAATAACTGCATATTTGAGATGTGATATCTTCTCCCCTAATGATCTGAAGGACCTGTTCATCCTCATGCATGTCCATCCACTTGCTCTGAAGTGAAGGCAAAGTTGAAATTGTCCAAATGTCCCCCTCTCTTTGTCCCACACTGCAGAACTTGGACGTCAGATTTTCAACTGTAAAAACTCCCGTCATGCACAGTTCTAAACATGGACGCAGATTCTCACCCGTGCACACACGCAGGAGCACACAGACTTCTCCTTCCACACATATCCCACTCTTAGACATCCATATCTAGTGTCATGTAAAGTTTCCTTCATTTCTGATGATGTTTAGTGGATGAATCTTCAAACACTCTCAGTCCATGAATGAAGACTTGCGTGCTCAGCGGCTCTGAAGGGGTTAAAATGATGTGCGGCTCAGTCTGTTGTCTCACTGTGGGAAAGTCAAATTTAGAGCCCTGCTGATCGACTGACTGCAGGAAAAAGGTTTAATATGTTGTTATGGAGCCGTAAACACACGCTCAAAAAAACTGTTTTTAATGGAAGTCTATTGGCCGACAAAGGAGGGTGGGCGGAGCTAAAATGTGGCGACAGAGAACTACAGGTGACACCAAGTTTTTTTTTAATATGAAGAAAAATAAGAACTCTCACCAAATTAGATTTTCCGATTTTAAAAATGTGACTGTCAGCTCAAAATAAAGACGAAAAGAAGGACAAATGTCCTCAAAACGGACAGAGGAGGAACTGAGGGTTAAATTAGATGGTAGTGAAGTGTGGGGTCCTCTTGTAAATCATGACTTTGATTTATCATTATTATTGTTGTTGATGTTATTTTGTATAATGTAATGCTTTGGCAATATTGTTCAAACAGTCATGACAGAGCGAGAGAAAGAGAGTGTGTGTGTGTGTTTACATGTGTTGTATATTTAACTATGTGAGGATATCAGGATAAAACAGTTGAAGTGTTTCTGCTCGATGAGGTTTCTATGAGGTGAATAAATGTTGGTTCAGTTGATCTTCAGGACGGCTGCAGCTTTAAGAACCTCTGATTGTTTTAGTTTGAGAGTCTAAAGATCACAGAGACACTCCTCATCCTGGTCTGAACAGCCTAAAGGTTGGGTGTAACCGCCGTGTGCTGACTTGATCCTCAGTCAGTCGTCGTCGACAGCGAGTGTTGAAATGGCGCAGAAAGGAGTTCATCTGGACCGTGAGTCTCTCTCTTGTTCCATCTGTTTGGATCTTCTGAAGGATCCGGTGACTGTTTCCTGTGGACACAGCTTCTGCATGAGCTGTATTCAATCCTACTGGGATACTGAGGATGAGAAGATGATCTACAGCTGTCCTCAGTGCAGAGAGACCTTCATACCGAGGCCTGTCCTGAAGAAAAGCACCATGTTAGCAGGTTTAGTGGAGGAAGTGAAGAAGAGCGGACTCCAAGCTGCTCCTGATGGTTCCTCTGAGGCTGGACCTGAAGATGTGGTCTGTGATTTCTGCAGTGGGAGAAAACTGAAAGCTGTCATGTCCTGTCTGCAGTGTCAGGTTTCTTACTGTCAGATTCACCTCCAGCCTCATTTTGAAGTTACTCCATTAAAGAAACACAAGCTGGTGGAGCCAAACGTCTCACAGGCAGTGACTCAGGTGGATGTTTTACTGTCAGAACCAGAACCCAAGACCAGAGCTGGTTTCTTAAGATATTCACAAAGAATCACACTGGATCCAAACACAGCAAACAGAAATCTGTTATTATCTGATGGAAACAGAAGAGCAACAAGGACAGGAGAAGAACAGTCTTATCCTGATCATCCAGACAGATTCATTGGTTTTCATCTTCAGGTCCTGAGTAGAGAGAGTCTGACTGGACGTTGTTACTGGGAGGTGGACTGGAGAGGGAACGGGGTTGGTGTAGCAGTCACATACAAGACTATGAGGAGAGAAGGGTGGTTCATGAATCATACCTTTGGAAACAATGACAAATCTTGGACGTTAGTCTGTTCTAAAGACAGTTATGGATTTATTCACAACAAAGTCATCACTCCTGTCTCAGGTCCTCCGTCCTCCAGAGTAGGAGTGTACCTGGATCACAGAGCAGGTATTCTGTCCTTCTACAGCGTCTCTGAAACCATGACTCTCCTCCACAGAGTCCAGACCACATTCACTGAACCTCTACATGCTGGACTGTGGTTAGACTCTGGAGCCTCTGTTGAGTTTATAGAAGTGAACTAAAGAGAATTTTGAGTCCATCAGACCAAAATCATGGACTGAGATCCTTGAACTCTTGAAATGTTCTGGTTTGTAAATGTTTGTGGATCAGTCTCACCAAAAACTCTGGGTTTAGTTCTTCATTTCAGCTTTTTGATTCTTTTCTAAAGATGCTGATTTGGTCGCAGCTTTAAGGACAGTGATTGTGGAGAACTTTGATTGTTTGTATTTCTCATGTTGAAAAATCTTCATACAGTTTGATATCAACAACATCAAGATGATGGTTTGTTCAAATCACCTTCAGTTGGTGCAGATGTTGAAGGTCTGAGACTTTAGAAAAAAGTGAGGTCAAAATCACAGAAAAAGGACGACCTTATTTCCTGTCCCAAATCCAAGCGTCTAAAGTCTTTCCAGTCGTCCCCAAAAACTCTTCAGATGATCTGTTTCTTTCTCTGTTTGCTGAATATTTGTGTTCATGTGATCGATGGATATTTCTGTCTGCTTCTGTTGGATCAGTGTGTTTGTAAAGACATCTAGAATCAGACTTTGGACAGATCTACATGTTGTTATGAGCTTTTCAATCACTCTAGTAATAATAATCACATTTATTAGTCCGACTGTTTGGATGTTTCTGACTCAGCTCAGATTGTGGTCAAGTCTCTGATTGTGGGTAAAAAAAAAAATAATAAAAATGATCAAACTGAGTCACTGAAATCACCTCGTCTGTTTGTCTTTATGGTTTAGAGAGAGAGAGAGAGAGAGAGAGAGAGAGAGAGAGAGAGGTTGTAATATTAGTAAAGGTCATTGTTAAATTCTGAGCTCATTAGTGTGTGTTCTGTAAATGCTGTATGTCACTGGCGCTCAATCGTAGGCAGATAATGAAGAGCGACTAATTGCTTTTGTTTGGATTCATAGTGAATGACGACTAGTTCAGTGTGTAGATGGGAACTGCAATACTTGTTCTGATTGGAGTCGTTCAGTACTAACAGATCACCATTAGTTTCTGCAGGAGGAAAACAAATATCAAATTACTTCAAGTAAATCATGATAAAAACCATTTCAACTGTAAAACGACTCAAATCTTTAATTATTTAAAGCAACGATCCTGTTAAATCATGTGACGACGAATAAACAGTGAAAATTTGTGACATGCATAATTTTGAAAGACTCTGAAGAAAGGTGAAAGGTGTATGAAGGAAAATAGGATCTCTCACTGAAGTTGATGCCCCAGTCTTTAGAAATGTGACTGTCAGCTCAAAATGAAGATAAAATAAAATAAATAAAAAAATATAAATAACATAAAACAGATCTTCAATTCTGAGGTTTGCTGCAGCTGCTGGTTTCTAAACTCTATGATCGTTGTCTGATTGAACCACCTTCACAGAATTTAATGTTGTTTTTTTTTAAAGTATTTTATTTTTCAGGACTTTTAACATTTCAGTCAAACTTTCAGGACTTTTTAATCCAAGGCCGGTCGATGAGCTGGAAACTTCAGGCGTCTAGAAATGAATCTTAAAAATGTAAATCAATAGAGTTAATTACACTGAGTACAAACAGAACACGCTGACGTCAGCACAATCAGTCTTTACTGTGTCAAAGGTGCGATTACTGTAAGCAGCTCAGAGCCGGAGTCGCTCTGGACCGAGGCCCGGAGAGTCACAGGAGCCCGGAACCGAAGACTGAGCCAAACCCAGAGGAAGAGGAAGAGGAAGAGAGGGACGAAGACTTCAGGGTTTTATCAGAGGAATCAGGAATCACACACACACACACACACACACACACAGAGCCCAACAGGTGGAGAGTGGGAGAGCCGTGGTGGGTCCCAGCGTCGCTCTGCCTCCTCATGTAGAGTTTAATCAGTTTGATATCTGTGTGCTGATGAGGCGACAGAGCGGCTGATACTCGGTCAGATTAGTAATAAACCTCCTGTCCGTCACTCGGAGAGGCTGCTCCAAATATCCTCCTCCTCCTCCTCCTCCTCCTCTCAGCGTCATTTCCAGAGAGGCTCCAACTCCGACGAGTGTTTTATTGACAGGCTGACAAACGATGAAGAAACACTCCTCTTAGACTTCATTATGCAGAAGAGGAGTACACAGGTGTCATCTGAGGGGTCTCTAAAAGTGGAACAGCGCCCCCTAAATGTTGAATTTATCTCAGGAAAAGAGCTCGAGTGATTCTTTAATAATCTGTAAAACGTAAAGAGGTTCCCCACAGCTGCCGTCCCAGTGTGTGATATAAAAGTAAGAAAGGGTCTCTGGATAAACGCGCCTTTTGGATTTTTCAGTCGGACATTTTAAAGAACGTTTTTGTTGTTTTTTTCATTTAGTTCTTTTTTAAATAAATCTTTTTTTGTCTGCATTTGGGTCCTTTTTTCTTTGTTTCACTCTGGACTGAGACAGAATGAACCGACCAGAACAAAGAGAAAGACAGAGACTTTATACACAAACAGGTAAACGAGACACAGGTGAGACTGATGAAGGATTAACGAAGGAGGGAAAACTGGGGAAGTAAAACCAGACGAGAAACACAAGGAATCAACTCCTACAAAATAAAACAGGAAATAAACAAAGAATCAACCACTACAAAATAAAACAGGAACACAAGGAATCAACTCCTACAAAATAAAACAGGAAATAAACAAAGAATCAACCACTACAAAATAAAACAGGAAATAAACACTGTAAACTGATTTAAAGAATAAAACACTGAGAAGAGGAGGGAAACAGGGTCAGACTGGACTACAGGGGGACCGGAACACCAGGAGAAGTACAGAAAATACACTTAAATGTAATATATTCTCTCCTTCTGCTCTATTGAAAAATATTTATTGAAGCCAACTTCTTTAATATTGAACATATCAAAGTTTCCTCTATAAAGTTATTTAAAATCTCACCCCAGAGGTAAATAAAGCATGGTGAGGCTCACTCTTGATTTCCTTCTGACACACACTAAAGGCCAAAAGTTTGGAAACAAGATCAGATTTGTACAAAACAAGATCATAGTTTCATAAATATAATTTGCAACACAGTAAACATGACTATTGTGTAAAGAGTAACTTATTAGAAGACATTTTGACTATAATTATGAGGTATTTGAGTTATTGTTGCTTAGACTTTGCTTTCTCTAAAGTAACCCCCTCTGGCTTTAACAACAGCTCGGCATATACCAGGCATTCGTTACCAAGTTTTCTAAGGTCTGTTCCAGGGATTACATTCAAGCTTTCTTAAGTTCATTAAAAAGAGACGCTGATTCGTGGGACGTGTTTTTCTGACCGATCGATCCAATTCATCCCGCGCAAGCTCAATTGGAGAAAGGTCTGGAGACTGAGGGGTCCAAACCATCTTCTGAAGAACACCTTCCTCTTCTCTTTTGTCTCGGTAACCCTGACAGAGCTCGGCAGAGTGCTTAGGGTCATTGTCTTACTGCAAAACAAACTTATGAGCCACAAGTCTGAGTCCAGATGGAGCAGCATGGTGCTGGAGGATGGAGTGGTACTGTTCCTTCTTCATGATACCCTTTACTTCAAACAAATCTCCTACTCCATCACCTGATAAACGTCCCCATACCATGGAGCTACCACCTCCATGCTGAATTGTGGGTGTAACACATGGAGCTTTCAGACGTTCACCAGTTTGTCTGCGGACATAGACTCTGCGTTTGGAACCAAACAGTTAAAACTTGTTTCTATCATCATAAGTCCAGTTTTTGTGAGCTTTTGCCCACTCGTGTCTCTTTTTCTTGTTCTGTGAACAAAGTAGTGTTTATTTGCAGATACACAACCCTTCAGACCAGCCTTTCTAAAAACATCTCCATGAAAGCAACATCTGATCATGGAGTAAATACATCCCAAAATACCTCAAACTCATGCTGGATTTAACAAAAAGTTGAAGTTACTCCCAACTGTTCGGCCTGTAACGGCCTTGCTTCCAAACTTTTGGCCTGTAGTGTTTAAACACAGAAAATCGGCTCCAAAATTTGAAGAAATGTAAATGTTCCCAAAAGTAAATAAAGTAGAAAAAGTTCAATTTTCTAAACGTTACTGTAAAAAAGTCCTTTTGCTGCCATTTCAATATATCACCTGTAAAAAGGTGAACCTTTGACACCGTCCCTGTGTGTTTTCAGAGGAGACCAGAGGACATTATGAAGACAGTTCAGGATTTAATTCATGTTGAAGCTAAATTTCCTCGTCCTCTCCGAACTGATTTAACCTGATATTTCCCATAATTCAACCTGATTCCCTCAGAGTCAGACGGCTGTTAGAGCGAGGGGCTGTCTGAGGGCGACGGGCCGATCCGACAGAAACACTCTGCTCCAGTCAGATCAGGTTATGAGAGTCTGAGAGGAGAAATTTACATATTTCAGGATGTTTCTGTAATCTTTGGTGAAACGGACCGAGGAGGAGAAACATCTCCGAGAACCTGGAGCAGGTCCAGCTGCCCTGAAACCAGGACCGGGATCAACCAGGACCTCTGCTGTTCTCACTAAAACTCTGTTAGACTGAAAGATCTGATATGGACATGGCTAATTCAGCTGTGTAACACACACACACACACACACACACACACACACACACACACACACACACAGAGTAACGTCTACACTAAATATGATGGAGGTCAGGAGCTGCAGTTTTATCTCTATGGGGACAGAAGAAGAAGTCCTGTTTGTTTTCTGTGTAGGTGTTTGTGTGTGTGTGTGTGTGTGTGTGTGTGTGCATGTGTGTGTGTGCGTGTAACGTCTCAGACAGGATTAGTCATGTTATTGTTTTCTGCCTGTGGACTCTGTTTGTCCCTCAGGTCTGAGTCTCTGTTCGGCCGTTTTTTTATTAACAAGCAGAGACACACAGCAACTACCCACACACACACACACACACACACACACACACACGTTTCATACAGAGATAATGTCTTCTATCTGCAGCCTGTTTGTGGTTTTAAACCTCGGCTCTGTGTGTGTCTGAGGAAACAAACGACCGTCTGATTTAAAGTCAAATATCACAGAAATGTTTCAACGTCGAGGAGATTTTAGGGCCTAAAACACAAACTAACTCCTCCTATTTAAAACCTCTTTGTCCTCACTGAGTCATCATCACAGACTGTATTTATAATATAGACGACTTGGTTCCGCCTTCCACCAGTATACAGATTTGAGGCTGAAAAGCTCTCGGTAATTCCGCGTTTTTTGACATCCTGACATTTCACAGCCAATCAGAGGCCTCTGTTCCTCTTCTCTGCTCCAGTGGGTGGTGCAGCTGTTGTAGTTCTTGCGGTTCTCCTGCAGGGGCATCGTCTGAGCTTCCTCTCCTCTCTCTGAACTGAAGCTTTTTGTTGCTGTTTCTGAGCTGTAGCACCCATAGATATATATATAAACGCTAGATGGCTTACACACGCTGTTAGCCAATGGAGACCAACGTCCGCGCATGGTGGCCATCTTGCTTCAGGCTTGCTGTAACAAACCTCAGAGTTTTAGTTCACTCAGGATCATTTTGTCAAAATTCAGCTTTTTTGTGCAAAGTTAAATTTGGCGGCATAGTTCTGCTCTGGGTCCCTGCCCTTCCAAGTGCTTGCGTGGAAGCCAGAGACAGGAAGAGCCCCTTCCTGCCCCTCATGAGCCATCATGAAAAGGCGATATCAGGGAGCGTATGCGAGGTTCTATCAGGGGCCCCTGTTCTCCATGTAAGCATGCGTGAAAGGCCAGCGGCAGGAAGAGCACCTTCCCTTCATCAGGCATCATGAAGGCAGAAACGATGGGGGTAGAGCAGCGATGAACAGAACCCCCCCATAAAATAAAGGGATTATCTGTCATTTAGGATACATCAGATGTGTTAAAGTCTAAAATGTAATTTTCTGATGAACAAACACCTGAGTGGAAAAAAGTTTCTTTTCTACACAACACACTTATACACAAACACACACACACACACACACACACACACACACACACATGCGCGCACACACTCTCTAAGAAATCCAAGGACAGATCTGATGGCGGTTATTCAATTATCTCGGAACGACTCATGCTGTGAAAGAAACTCGTCTCCATGGCAACACATCTCAGCTCCTCTGCCTCCTGCGGTGGTTCATCACTTCATCCGGACCAAGTGTTTCTGTCCACGCTGAGATTCATGCTCTCACTTTCATCCCTTCACACATACACACACACACACACACACACACACTCGTACACAGCAGCATCTCTTCTATTGAAAGCTGACACACTTTCTGCAGATAAACAGAAACCCGATGAAATAAACAACTCCCTCCATCAGAGATGTGTCCTGATTCTCTTCTTCTTCTCTCCGATGACATTTCTCTCTCTCTCTCTCTCGCTCTCTCTCTCTCTCTCTCTCTCTCTCTCTCTCAGATTCGTGGACTCTAACTGAACATCTGGTGGTGTGTATTTCTGGCTCTCCCAGCAGCTCGGGGTGTCGGCGGGTGTCTCTGTCCATCGTCAGACTTTCAGACCAGGTCTCGGTGGATCTCTGGCAGCAGCTCGCAGGTCGTATGTTGGCTTCACATCAGTCTCTCTCTCTCTCTCTCTCTCTCTCTCTCTCTCTCTCCAGGGTCACTACGCCGACCTCCTGCAGAGCAAACACAAACAGACTGACCTCCTTATTCAGACCAACAACCGAGCCTGCTGGAAGAGGAAACGCCAGAGGAACATCTGGCAGAAAAAGACACACTTGGACGGGAACCACAGAGCCCCCCCCCTCCCCCAATACTCTGGGCTCCACTGCTGTCTGATTCCGTTAGTAAGAAGTCTCAGTTTTCCTGTTAAAAGGATCCATAAAGCTGGCCCCCTGCTTCTCTGTTTATGAGTCCCAGTTTAGTACACAGCAGCTTCACTTTAACTGACCATCCATCTGTTTTTCCTGGAGTCTCAGTTTCACAGTGAACAGTCATACTGCGGCGCTGAAAAGACGTCAGAAGTGTCTACAACTGCTGCTGGTCATTTTGAGGAAACAAGAAGATGGAGCATCGTACAGCGTTGTTTTTGTCCGTCATGATGGATGCGCTACTTTTTCTAAAGATGAGACCAACGCTACTCCTCTACTCTGGGGGTTTTGTTCCAGGGTTACGGGGGCGTGGCACACGCACACATGCATTGTCCAGACATACTCCGACTACACTGGTTACATGATAGAGAAAATCAAATTCCAATCACATTATCTGGGTGTCTTTATCGTAGTTCTCAAACTCTGATTATAGTCGGACTAAGGTGTTATCATGACCTTCAGTTGTCCGGTCTTAATTGGAAAAAGACAATAGTTCGGTTTTCGCGGGTGTTGACACATCTTACAGAATGTGCTAGTTTAGAGTTCATGCTGGACTCTGCAGACTTTAGTCTGGTCCAGAATCGGTTTGATGAGACTATCTGACGGTTCGACTCGTGCGTCACTCTGAGACGTTAAAAGATAAGTTCAGTCTTCTTAAATATGCATGATTGATAACCACCTTAACCTTTCCTCATTATTACTGTCAGTTCAACCTGCAATTATGAGATCTGGAGCTGGTAATTATGTCTCCCCAAATCTCATAATAACATGATAAGGTCTGTGTTTCCCTCTTTAGGTTAATGTAATGTGCTTCAGTGAGAGTCTGTCGGGGGAATCGTTGATGAAGTAATAAACCTTTCAGCGTTTATGTCTCTGACCTTTTCAGGAAAATCAAAATCTACTAAAATATTCAAATCCCACTTCAACCTCCGTTCGCCACAGACTAAACGCTGGATCTGAAGGAGCGCTGCAAACCAACAAAACATTTATCAAACTGTTCGGTCTCCTCTGAGGATGAACCTTTTTACACGCTGAATCTTCCTGATCTGTTTGAGGATCAAATCAAGAAAGGTGAATGAATGTAGAAGCAGCAGCATCTTCAGCAGCAGCCGCAGCAGATGGTTCATTAAATGAAGAAGTTAGCATTCATTAGACAGGAGGTCGTTACCTGCAAACAAATTAAGAGGGAGCATTAAAGAGCGGCTGCCTCTGAAGTCCACGGCCTGTTTCTGCTGTAAAACGAGGAGGTCCTATTAACGAGAGCGCCGCTTCAAAAACCATGAAGAAGAAAGCTGCAGACGCCGTCCCATCCTCTGATCGATCAATGCTGCTCACACTCCTCCTTTATCGGCCACTGTCCTCTTGTTTCTCTGAAGAGAGCTGTTAGATTTCCAATAAGTGCGGACCTCAGATGTCTTTGTAGCTCCATTATGCTCCGTGTTTTAACAGAGTCGATCACAGAGGAGCTTTAATAACGCCGCTCCTCCGGGACTCTTCACACGGCTCTGCTAATAGATGGGCCTCAGCCTGGACCGAATAATCTGCCCACAGGGAAACGCTGCCGAGTGTGCGGGCGGCCGCCTCACACCGCAGCCTCTGAAAGTGCCGAGTCAGGGTCACATGACCGACAGAGACACCTCTGAACACTGAGTTTGTGTTCTTGTAAACGGGTAATCGATGGAGACGCTGAGAAGAAACTCTCAGAATAAATGGAAAACATGTTCGACATAAATGAGCTCTGACTGCAGCCCTCAGCTTCCCGAGGTTTCAGACTCACAACATGAGAACAGAAGATAATAATGCAAACGTGGGAAATGATCATCGCAGGAATACGACCACGTCGGCTGTTTCTGAAAACCGTACGCTCATTTATAACCAGGCGGTGACCTTTAGAGGCTGCAGAGTCAGGTCTGTGTTTAAGGAGCAGAAGGTCTGTGTGAGGGGCGCTGAGTCATCCAACAAACCCTGGACCTTCACTGAGAGGAGCAGAGGAGGAAAGGTCTGACATACTCAGGTGAGGAACATCACAGCTGCAGGTGTTGGACCAACGTCAGGAAGTAGTTTAGTTAGAAGATTAACTTTAAAGGAACAAACACGTCTGTGGACAAAACTAAACCTGGGATTAACTCCACTTCCTGTCAGTCTTTCCTCCGCTGACTCAGCAGTTTGAACACACGTATGAATCCAATCAGAACACTTACCCCCAATCTCCACCTTCATCCTGATCGTCTCCTAAAAGGTCGTATCCTCCGATCAAAGCTGATCGTAACCATCAAGTTAACGTTTTTTCTGGACGCCGGAGCATGGCGGATAAATTCAGCACAGATTAACCCGTGCTGGAAAGGAAGTCGGGCACAGACACAAAATAAAACATCCGGCTTCCTTTCAAAATAAAGTAGGAATTGTCGGACAGTGAAAATTGCTGCACTGACTTCCTGTTCAGGATGACAGCGAATCTGTTCTACAGAACATCCTGTCAGTACGTGTCAGTATCAGGAAGGGCATGTTTGATTAGGAAACCTCCTCTCTGTTTGTGAACGCAGCCCAGCTCAGCTCTGCGGGGCGTTCGCAGTAAACAGACGCACTTCCAGCTCGGCCTGGTTTTATTTCACGATGAAGAGAGCGAGCGATTATGAGAGTCATTACACTCGATGACGGGCGAGTAAAACGGAGGTGCTGCTGCTGCCTGAAGGCGAAACATCTGCCTCAAAGTCAGAGAGAGGCGACGGGATCGAGAGTGGGCGGAGTCAGAGAGGAGAGAGGAGGAGTCTATATCCAGGATCAGGACTAAGTTCTCAGAGTGAATGTGGTTCAGTTTTTAATTCAGCCTGATCGACTCTTTGATATTTTTAAAACTGTAGAAACGTTTCTCCACCGTGTTTCTGAGTAAAACGACTCGAGAGGGAGGACGACTCTCTCCACATGGATTCAGTAACCGACACTGAGACGCTCTCTGCTCTGCAGTGCAGCTCATGGAGGGTTGGACTCTGAAGTAAAGTGTGTCTGTTTTTTTTCTCATTTTCTCAGATTTCATGGTCATGCAGTCCTGAAGTGAATCAGCCCTCATTTCGATTTTAACATGGTTAGAGCAGGTGGAACAGTCCTCTCTGAACCTCCTTCCATCTCAAAGTGAATCAGGGTTTCTGTGGGCGGCAGTCGCTCAGGAGGTAGAGTGGTCGTCCAAAAACCGGAAGGTTGGCGGTTTTGATTCCCCTCCATCCCAAGTCTGTCGGTTGTGTCCATTGGCAGGACACTTAACCCACCTTGCTCCCAGTGTGTGTGTCCTCCACTGGTGTGTGATTGTGAATGTTGTGTGGTGGTGGTCGGAGAGGTTGTGGGCGCAAACTGGCAGCCATGTTTCTGTCAGTCTGTCCCAGGGCCGCTGTGACTACTAACCCGGGATTTCTGTTCCAATCCAAAACGGCAGCAATTTTCGCCGTCTGCCAATTTCTACTGGATCCATTTGTGAGGTGAATTTCATGTTGGATTATGGACAACAGGAACCGCGAGAACTCACAAGAACCCCTAGATTCATGTGCAATAACAAGTTGTCTCTATAAAGACAGACACATAGACATATAAGCAGTAGATTGTGTCCTTCCAGAGGAGGAAATCTACTTCTAGACTTCTAGAATCAGCATCTCCTCATCCATGGTGTCATCGGGGTGAAATGACGTCTAAAAACCTTTCACTTGTTCGTCTCCGCCCGTTTGCATGGTGTGAAATACGATCCTCCTGAAACACGGAGTGTTTTATTTTGAAAAGAAGCCGGATGTTTTATTTTGTGTCTGTGCCCGACTTCCTTTCCAGCACGGGTTAATCTGTGCTGAATTTATCCGCCATGCTCCGGCGTCCAGAAAAAATAGAACTCTTGTGATCAGCTGAGGAGTCCGGCGATCCGCAGAGGAACGGAAAGAAGTCGGTGTAAATTGACACGTTAACTTGAATGGTTACGATCAGCTACGATCGGAGGATACGACCTTTTAGGAGACGATCAGGATGAAGGTGGAGATTGCCAGTAAGGTAGTTTATCACCACCAGGGTGTGACTGCGTGAGCGAATGAATGATGTATCCAATGTGAGAGAGAGCTTTGAGATCACTGACAAAAAGCGCTTCAAAATCTGATGTATTATCATCATTATTATTATTTCTGTCTACGTTCTGTGTGCTAGAGTCAAGGCAAACGGGGGCCAAAGGGCCGGATTCAGACCTACAACATAACAATGATACTTGAGCTGCACAATGAGGTCTTGGCACCGTGAGTCCGGGTCAGTTTCCCTCCTGAGTGAGCTGTACAGACCGTGAAGCTGCTGTATGACAAGAAGGAGGATCACAATCAGAGAAAAACACACAGTTTTCTGAAAAAATGATCCTGTCTATCTCTGTATCAGTCCTGGTTCTTTAAACCTAAAGTAAACCCGCAGAAGATCTCATCATCAGCAAATAAACGAGACCGGAGAGAGAGAGAGAGAGAGCGAGAGAGAGAGAGAGAGAGAGAGAGGAGGTGATGAACAGAGAGCAGCTCGCCTTGGAGTGTGAAATGTACTCTGCAGCTCCCACGGGATTCGACAGCACACACACTCACACGCACACGCACGCACGCACGCGCGCGCACACACACACACACACAGAGGACAGATAGCTGAAGTAATGGAAGTGTGAGCGAGGAAGAACCACCATTAGTGCTCAGATCTCAGTGTTGAATTTACCCTCATCTGCTCTGATATCTGTGAGGTTCCCCGAGGAGCCGATGATGACCTCTGGAGAAGCTGCAGAGATGAATTTCAAAGAGGGTCTAGTGAATAGAAATAACACTTCAGAGAGGCGCGCAAATGGGTGATGCAACACCATGTGGGTGTAGAGAGCAGCACCTCAGGGCTCTGATGGAGGCCGGCGTACAGACCCTGCAGGACGCTTGAAAGGAAACACGCACAGATCACACACCTCAACCCTCCATTAGGAGTTGGGTCCTTTATTTGAAGCAGGCTTGTATTCGCTGCAGGCTATACGTCAAATTCGCTCCGTCTGAAGAGAATAATAAACTTTCTCACTGCAGCGCTGCTCTTCTTTATGTCAGAGTTTGTATTTAAACTCCGATCTCTGCTGAAAGGATCTCTGCCAGAAACTTTAGCTCATCTGGAGAAAAAAAGAGTCTAAACTGGAGCTCGAACTCCAACAAGAAAAGTTTTTGCAGAGCAAATAAAACTGTGTGCGGGTCATCGCTCTCAGCAGGAGAGGTTTTCCAACTGCAATTTCACCTTTAAAGATTGGACTCCAGGAGAAGAGAAGTCTATTTCTCTGAGCCAGATTCTTTTCTAATGTCAAATAAAAACACTTCTGTCCTGAGGTAAACTTTCCTCTGTGTGGAGACTTTAAATTTAACCTCTTCCTCAGTAAAGTGACCCCTGACCCCTCCCTCTGCTGTATCCCCGAGCCTGTTGTACTTCTGTCTGCAAACACAGAGGTCAGCTAAAGGTGTGATGGGCAGAGAGTTGTGCTTGTTCTCAAATCCTACATGATGCTCGGCGCTCAGTGTGTGAGCAGACTTTCTTTCTTTAGTGTCTCCACACAATCTTTTCAGAAGGAAAATATTGACCCGCTAACAAAAGCCGAGAAAGCTGGGACATCCTGAGCAGCAGAGCGGCTCTCTGGAGACCGTGCAGAGTCAGAGTCGGGTTTTTCAGGTTTTTCTCCTGCTGAACGACTTTAATGTGAGTGACCTTTGTTTTTCTCTTCACCTCAGAAAAGTCCTTTTATTTGCAGCTTTGACCAAATGGTGACCCGAGGGGCGGAGAGGGTCTGAGGAACCTGTGGGGAGTGAGACACAAAACAAGGCCGAACATCTAGGTTCCCTGCAGTTCCCTGAGTGTCCACTAGAGGCTGTGTCCTTCAGTGAGTCAATCCTAATAGAGCCTGATGTTAAAATATTAAACTTTACAGCAGGAATAAGCATGTCGACAGTCAGGTACAAAAATATCTATAGCTCATCAGAGTAGGGATTAAAGTCGCCTGTTCATGAACATCGGCGTGTTTTCAGAGGTTTGTTTTTGTGAATATCAGACTCATCATTGGTCTAATTTCCCTTGAAGACGGTTTGATCCTCGTTGTATCAGGATGATATTCTGTGTAAATCTGTGCGAAGCTGCAAACATGTCCTCCTGCTCTGTTTTTAACATCTTTCATATCGTCCTGTGATCTGAGGAGGAACTAAGACCTCTCCGCTCTGTGACCGATAATGGAGGTGAGCGACCTGTGGAGGCAGACGGGAAACGGAGCCGTCTTACACCGCCGCTAGCACAGCTGAGCACGCTCAGTCTGATCAGGCTGATGAAAGGTGATAGTCTGCAGAGATCGTATCTGAGAGGAGGGACTCATTAAAAAGGGAACTCTGCTAAAGTGGAGGAGATGGACGTGTGAGAAGGACTCTGAGGTTTGTCGTGAAACACCTTAAAAACTTTCAAAAACCTTAAAAAAAGCTTGAAAATCTTAAAAACCTTAAAGATAAAAAAAACCCTTAAAAACCTTTAAACACTTTTAACAACCTTTTAAAACCTTACAAACCTTTGAAAACCTTTAAAAGCCTTAAAAACATTTAAAACCCTTAAAAACTTTCAAAAACCTTTAAAATCCTTCAAACCTTGAAAACTTTAAAAGCCTTTAAAAACCCTTAAAACCTTTAAAAACCTTCAAAAAAATTTAAAAACCTTTAAAAGCCTTTTAAAAATGTCAGCAACCTTTAAAAACCTTTTAAAACATTCTAAGAACCTTTAAGAACTTTCAAAAACCTTCAAAACCTTTTAAAATCCTTTAAAAACTGTCAAAAACCTTCAAAAGCCTTTTACTAAACCTTTTAAAACCTTTTAAAAACCTTTAAAAACTTTAAAAACCCTTTAAATTCTCTCGATGTGAAGTCAGCTGATCTGCAGAAACTGCATGATGTCATCACGCCAATATGAGTCAAAATCTCTTAAAAACGCCGCCTGAGGCCTGTCCTGCAGGAAGTCTTCCTTTTATTTCCTTGTTCCTATAACTCTATGAGCCACCTTCAAAATAAAAGCCTGCCTCATGTTGGTGCTCTCAGCCGCAGGGTTCAAAGTTTCTCTTGTCGAAGTTCTTGGGTCTCAACTTTTCAGGTGAAGTCCGGGGTCAGATCTTCCTTCCTCTCTCACACACAGAGCAGCTGATTATGGCGAGAAAAAGCCGAGTGTATTTTCATTCAGAGGGGACGGCGGCGCGGCTCTGACACGGCGTGAGTAATGGCGCCTGGCTCAGGACAGGAAACTCATAAAGCCTCCTGTAGCAGCTGCTATCTGTGAAAGTAGGATGGATATCTCCCTCAGAGGGATCCAAAACAACGGTCCGCCCGGGCTCGGAGGAAAAACACGAGGGTGGAGTTTATTTCAGGGTGAGGTGACGGAGAGAAGAGCTCTGAACGATGACCCATGAAGACCAGAGACTCTTAAAACAGAGTTTAACTAAAACACACTGAGGTTAGCCCCGCCTCCTCCATGTAAACCGATGGGACATGAGTCAAAAATCACAGTCCTGGTCACATTAATGTTTCATAGTTATAAGCTCATTTTATTGGTCTAAAGGAGTCATGTGATGCTATAAAAAGAAGCGAAACAGAGTGATTGACAGCTCTGTTGACCAATAAGGCCCGCCCTCTAATGGATCTGGTCCACATATAGGTGGTCTCGGTGGTAAAACAGGTTTAATCCTGCAAAGAAGTGAGGTGACCGATACAGTTAACATCCTGCAACCATGACTAATGAGAAGGAAGAGAGGAGCAAACTGATGAAACAGAGCTAATGGACATAAATATCAATATATATATAAACATGCACACATCAAGAACTCTGAGAACCCGGGTGAACTGCAGGGTCAGGGTTAAGGGTTAGGGGTTAGAGTTAGGGGGATAGGGTTAGGGTTAGGGTTAGGATTAGGGTTTGGTTAGGGGTAGGGGTTAGGGTTAGGGTTGGGTTAGGGGTAAGCATTAGGGTGAGGGTTAGGGTCAGGGTTAGGGTTAGGCTTGGGGTACGGTTAGGGGTTAGGGGTAGGGGGTTAGGGTTAGGATTAGGGTTTGGTTAGGGGTAGGGGTAGGGGTTAGGGTTGGGGTTATGGGAAAGGGTTAGGGTTCTGGTTACAGTTAGGGGTAAGTGTTAGGGTTAGGGGTAGGGGGTTAGGGTTAGGATTAGGTTTAGGGTTTAGGGTTAAGGTTAGGGGTGAGAGTTAGGTTCAGGGGTTAGGGTTAGGGGTAAGGGTGGGGTTAGGGTTCTGGTTACAGTTAGGGGTAAGCGTTAGGGTTAGGGGTTAGGGTCATGGTTAGGTTTAGGGTTGGGGTAGGGGTTAGGGGTAGGGGTAAGGGTTAGGGTTCTGGTTACAGTTAGGGGTAAGCGTTAGGGTTAGGGGTTAGGGTCATGGTTAGGTTTAGGGTTGGGGTAGAGTTAGGGGTTTAGGGTTAGGGGTGAGAGTTAGGTTCAGGGGTTAGGGTTAGAGTTAGAGTTGGGTTAGGGTTGGGGTTGGGGTTAGGTTTAGGGTGCAGATCAGGTTATTATTGATCATGCATTTACAGATCTGTAGCTGTTTTCTGATCCCTTCAATCTCTCCAAACTTCTCCACATTTCCTCATCTCTTATTTTATAAAGTCACGTCGTCATAAAACCCACCGGCTCGCCCTCAGTTGCTGTTTTAATACAAATACAGTATCTGAACTCTCTTAGACTCCAAACTTTGCAGGATCCTGAACTACAAAGTCCTTTTTTTTTAAAGTTGAGCAGTGACTCAGAGAGTTTAATCCCTGATGTGCTGGAAAGACTTCAGAAAAGCTGCAGAGTTTCTCGAACAGAAGAAGAAGAAGAAAGCGTGTATGTGTGCAGAAAAGGAGTTTCTGTGCTCATCCCAGAGCAGGAAATCTCTGCTGCAGTCATTTGTCTTCACTGATTTAATGTTGAAAATGAGTCCTGAGAGAGCGACCTGTGCACCTGCTGCAGGCTGAGTCTTCCTAATAAACTGAATCATCGGCTCTTTGTCTGCTGTTAGACCCAAACAAGAGCTCATGTTTAAGTCCTAATGAAAATGTCAGACTCACACAGATAACTGTCTGAATGATCATTAGTCGCGCACGCTCGCCATAAAGCGTTTAAATGTGGAAATGTCAGAGCTGTCTGAGCTCATCTATTATTTATTCTGATTTTACATCATTATTTAGAGCCTCACAGAACAATACGCTGAATAATCAGGGAAATGTTTGTTAATTATGTGTGGCATTAAGTCAATGTGACCCAGACTGATGTTAGACGCTCTAATCTCAGCTAAAACCAATTTAAACGCAGAGTACGTTGGTTTTTTATTTCATTTTAATTCACATTCATGCAGACGCTGTCGCTCTGAGGACCCGGACTAACAGCTGGAGGCGTTTCTTTTATTCGGGAAAACACAACATAGAAGTCTATCAGTGATCCTGGGCCCACAGAGATCAGTCTGAGAACTGAGGCAGAGAGAGGGGGCGGACACAAATACAGGGGCAACAAGACAGAGGGTCAAACGGGCAAAAGGTTCGATTAAAGCAGGTCAAGGTGAGTACAGGGTGAGGGATCGAAAAAGAAAACGAGACTGATGAGAGACATGAGGTTTGATACATGAGGTCATGAGGGAGAGACAATCAGGAGGCAGGTGTGACAGGAAGACAGGGTTAGTGACTTCAAAATAAAACAGGAAGGACAACTAATAGTACATGTCTGCAGAGTCGGAGAGCCAAGCAGATCCACAACTGTCTTTGTGCCCCTGCTGGACGGAGTAGGGCATTGCATGACAGATCCATGACCTTCTTTTTAACACATCCGTTTTTGTGCCCAGAAATTTAATTTAATAAACAAGTTAATAAATAAAAATAAAAAATAAAAATTTGTGAAGACTGTGACTGTGACTGCCCAAAGTCACATATTTAGATATTAATCTAGATTTTATTAATTTTACATTTATCTACTTATCATCTTTTTATGTATTGTCTGCCAACTTGAAATATTTCGGTTTATTCTACCAAAATATGAACTTATATCATCCCAATATCTGAGGGATCGACCTCTTTTTTATCCTCTTCATTCCTCTGCGATGATTTTGACCCTGAATACAAAAGTCTGTGTCTGCAGAGTCGGATCAATCTGATATATTTTCATGTTCAATCTCACGCACATTATTAGTCATCACACTTCTGTTTCATTCACTACAATGCTAGTAACCTACGGGTCAAATAGTGCATTTCCGATTTCTGACAAGCTAATGTTAGCATTAGCTTGACTGAGATTCGATTTTAGACTATCATGGAAAGACGTCCTGAACGGAGCCTGTCACATCGACATTTATTTCTCCGTCAAATTCAAGACAACAGTTTTATTAATGACTAAAATATGTGTGAGTCTCGATCATGACGTCGCTCCATTCGAGCCGATAACTTTCGAGAAAGAAGCGGTAAGAAGAGGCGGTCACGTGTTTCAGGTTGTGGATCTGTCATGAAAAAGTGACTCTGACAGAAACAGTGAAGAATGACGGTGTGTTTGCCGTTAATCGTAAATTCATGTATTTTTACACTTTTTATTTAGTCGTGTTTAAGTTCAGATGTGTGAGACTCCTCCGTCTCTGACTGTTTAAAAAAGCTGCAGAGAAAAAAACACAAACAGGAATATTTTTGTTTGTTTTTCTCCTTTTAGCTCCACGTGAGAACGAACAGAGCTGAAGGAGGTTTATCCAAACTCCAAACCGCCGTCCCTGAGTGTGACCCAGATATCAAATTAAAGACGCGGACCTTCACACGAACACATGCTGTTTATTTCTGTGTGCGCTGACAGTTTAGCTGGAGGTGATTCTGCTCACCCCGATAATCTCACGTCATCTTTATGGAAGTTTTATCTCTCCATGATGATGAGCGAAACACGGAAACACGGAAACACAGAGCGAGCGTCTCTTTAACCCTCCGTCTGACTCTGATCGATGTTTCTGCTCTGCGGTCTTTCTCCGCCCGAGGCTGACATGTCCGTATCTGTGACGCTCACATAGATTTATTTACATCTGTGTCAGATTCAGGAGGCTACAGGAGCATCACACCAAGGACAGAGGACTTCTTTATTCAGCATAAAAACATTTCTGCAGCAGTGGGAGTGGGAGGGAAATCAGAGGAATGAGGAGACAGGAGAGAGAGAGAGAGAGAGAGAGCGGATAACTTCACCAACACTGACAGTATTCTTTATTAAAGGGGATGGAGATTTGCACTGAATATAATATTGAAGTCCGTCTATCATCCCTTTAACTCTGTTTTAATCGTCTGTGATGAATATTCAAACTGGAGGAATGAGATTCTGGCAGAAACAGGAGCGCTGAATGTCAGTGATAGGTCAGCTCAGCAGGAAGGTCAGCGTCTGAATTATTCACTCCAAATGAAGTTAATCGGTGATTAAAAATCTACCATCATTTATGGAGAGGGTGTTGGTTTGACCAGCAGACCTCTGACAGGTGAGTCCAGAGAGAGTACAGGTGAGATAAATAACCGCGAGGATGAAGGTTTGCTCTGCTCACAGTCCCCGTGAGGAGTCGGGCTGGGAAAATCTGCAGTATTTCTAGGATGAGGACTGCATTTCCCATGAGCACCGTCACCCCTGAAGACTAGAGGATCTGTGTTACAGACCCACTCTAATGAAAATCCTGTTTTTCTTGTCGTCTACATGTTCATATATTGATTTTTCTGATACTACAGGACGTATCATAGGAAAAATAAGTGTGACATTTGTGTTTCTGACTCATTCAAATCGCTGTGAATCTCTGGCAGACTTAAACAGCAGGTTCAGATACAGTGAGATTTCCTACATCACAAATCCAAGCTCCGCCCCCAGAGCCCCGCTATGAAGGCCAGACTCAGAGAAGTCGAGAGGACGATCACGGAACAAGCGTGTGAGTTAGCGGATTGTAATGATATTAACTTTCATCGTGTCTCTAAAGACATTCGTGTCCGAGAGATGAATAACTCCGATGTTACCTGCTTCTTCTACTTCAACATTAGGCTACAAGCTAGCATGAAGAGGAGTGTGCAGAACAGCGCTGACTCCGCCCACGACTCAGAGGTGAATTGCCAATGAGCTACAGGAGCTCTGCAGAAGAAAAGACCTTGAAAAGGACACAGGTAATGTGAATTTGGCTAAAAACTTCATAATCACAATTTAAAGACTTTAAATAGTAAAAAAAATGATCGGAGTGTGACTTTAAAGAAGCAAATAACAGAATCTGCAGAAACACTTTTTCAGGAAGCAGATCGAAGATCTCGCGTTGATTTGAAGCTCCATCAAATCATTAAGTTTTACTGGAGCTGTCAGCGTGAATAAGAAAAGTGCGGTAAAAAGCACACCTTAGTGTAGCTGACACTTCTGCAGCCGCCATATTGGAAAATAACACCAAATTGGATAATGAAGACCACCACAACAGGAAGGAAGAATGGAATACAGTGGACCTTCTGGTCACAGCTTGAGGACCTCGATTTTACTGACGACCTGGCCCTCCTGTCACACAGCCAAAATTGCATGCTGAAGAAGACCAACCGGCTAACTCCAACACCCCTTGGAACAGGCCTCAGGTTAAACAAGGAAAAGACGAAACTGATGAGGATGAACACCCCGACCAACATCCCTGTCACCCTAGATGACAGGCCCATCGAAGAAGTCGACTCCTTCACCTACCTCCGCACAAGCGAGGTGGCACAGATAGGGATGTCACTGCCAGGGTAGGTAAAGCTAGAGCGGCGTTTATTATCCTGAAGAACATCTGGGCCTCAGGGGAAATAGAGGCGCATATTTGGAATTAAGTGGCCGGAGGAAATCAACAATAAGGAGCTGTGGCAGAAAGAGAGACAGGAGCCAGTGAAGAGCCAGATCCGGAGGCGGAAGTGGGGCTGGATTGGCCACACTTTGTGTAAATCATCAGCTTCCGTCACACGCCAGGCCGTGACTTGGAAGAAGAGGGGAAGGCCCAAGAACAGCTGGAGGCGGGACACTGAGTCAGAGCTGAAGAGTTATGGGGAGAGGTGGAGAGGATAGTCCAGGACCGTGCTGGATGGAGAAGAGTTGTTGATGGTCTTTGCTCCACAGAGAGTTACGGGTCTAAGTAAGTATACAGTGTTTTAAAATGGCCGATAGAAGGTGTCAGAGCGTTATTATCAGCTGCTCTGAATGTGGAAATTAAACCTCAAAAACAAGAGCGGTCACTTCTGGACGACTGAACCTCCCGATTATTTAAACCGGATTTTATTTGGGTTTTAAATTTGAACGCTGCAGAACCACAACACGGCTCTGTGGACTCTAACGGTCCGGTTCAGATGAAACAAACAAACAGGAGTGAGATTCTGCAGAGGAACCAGAAGGACCGTGAATTAAATCAGCTGACACGACAGATCGGTCTGTTTACGAACCGTCCTGATGGTCAGTGAGGATCAGTCTGAGGAGAATCCGTCACTTTTATTATCCAATCACAGATGACCTTGTTTCTGTTTGCGGCTCGGGACGATTTCAGAGTGAAATGAGAGTCAGTGGACGGTGGCTGCAGAGGACAAAAACAGGAAAATGGAGACAGATGAATCCGGGCGAGGTCTGAGAGTCAGCTCATTATTCTGATGCTTTTGTCATTATTTCGGTGTCACATCCTCGATGGAGATTCAGACGCCGCATCATCCGGTCTGCTCTCACTGATCATCTTCATTCATCTCCATTCAGAGCAGGAAATGGGACGACAAAACTCTGATGAGCATCGAGGAGCAATAACAACGTTTCTGTCACCGAGGAGGATCAGTGAGACACAGACAGAACCAGGACTGATGGGCTCATCACCACACTGACCTTTACCCATCCTTTACACTCCGGTTTCTGCTCTATGTGGACCTGAACCGGGACCCTCTTTAACCTGGGAGGTCCCGGCTCTGCCTAAGTCCATATAAAGACCCCAATTACACATGTCAATGTCAAGTTTATTTGTATAGCCCATTTAAAGCAGCCAGTGGCCTACCAAAGTGCTTTACAATAACGGATATATCTGAACCTTAAAACCACAAGACTCTGACTCAAACAGGATCATACATGGAGTGGAGGAGCAACCCTGAACCTGACCCTGATTTTGACCCTAACCCTAATCCTGACCCTAACCTCTTACCCTGATCCTGACTCTAATCTAAACCCTAACCCTAACCTCTTACCCTGATCCTGACCCTTACCTGACCCTGATCCTAAAATGACCCTAATCCTAACCCTGACCCTGATCCTAAACCTAATCCTGACCCTAACCCTAAACCAAATCGACACTTATCCTGACCCTGATCCTAACCCTAACCCCTAAACCTGATCCTGACCCTAATCCCAACCCTGGCCCTTAACCTGACCCTAAATCTTACCCTAACTCTGATCCTGACCCTGAAACTAAACCTGACTGTAATCCTAACCCTAATCTGACCCTTATCCTGATCCTAAACCTAACCCTAATCCTGACCATAATTCTGGCCCTCACCCTCATCCTGACCCTTACCCTTAACCAATTCCTGACCCTGATCCTGACCCTAATCTTAACCCCTAACCCTGATCCTGACCCTAATCTTAAACCTAACTCTACTTCTGACCCTGATTCTTACCCTAACTCTAATCCTGATCCTAACTTTAACTCTTACCCTGACCCTGAAACTAAACCTGACTGTAATCCTAACCCTAATCTTGACCCTTATCCTGACCTTAAACCTAACCCTAATCCTGACCATAATTCTGGCCCTAACCCTCATCCTAACCCTAACCCTTAACCAAATCCTGACCGTGATCCTAACCTAACCCTAACCCCTAACCCTGATCCTGACCCTAATCTTAAACCTAACTCTACTTCTGACCCTGATTCTTACCCTAACTCTAATCCTGATCCTAACTTTAACTCTTACCCTGACCCTGACCAAGCTTTTGATTGTCAGGACCAGCTCTGAAGGTCTTCCCTGAAAAACTCCGATGTTCCTCCTAAACCTGAAGATCTTGTTTAAAACCGAGGATGCAGCATCTATGATTTCCAGTTCTACGTCGAAAGGACAACTGGACTTAACTAAGTCCAGTTGTCCTTTCCAAAAGAGTTTTAGATTCTGATCCATCAGACCTCAGGACGGCTCTCCTCGTCCTCTCAGTCCACTAATGGGCTCAGGTCCAGAAAAGTCTCTGGTGGTTCTTGACCTTGTCTCTATCCGGTCTCCTCATGGTTCAGTTTGAACCTGATTTGATCTGTGTTTACTGTCCTGTCTGTTTTCAATGCCGACGATCAAATCTACTGATTTTTACGTTACAGGTTAAAAATTTAACATCAGTCTTTTTTTTTTTTTTTTACTGTTTTCAGTCTAATTTAGTTTTTTATAAATAATCTGTAAACCGTTAAAATCTGAAAAAAATTGATCGACTTTCCCCTCGAGGATCAATAAAGATGATAAACTTCTTATCTCATAATTATTAATTTTAGATTTCATGTCTCTCAGCGTCCAGACTTTCTTCAGATGTGATTGTCAAAGTGGAAGTTCAGAAAAATAAAAACAGTTTGTAGGAAACTGAGGGATAAAAACACACTAACTCCAGGTAATAGTCCCCTCCCGTCAGTGTCTACGATGACGTTTTCTAACTCTACCTTGAATCTTCTCCTCCTGCTGCCTCCTCCACATCTGAGACAATTAGACCTGATTCTATCTAATACTGTGAGCCGAGGACCTAATCTCCCTGAATTACAGTCTTCTGTTGTTTATCTGAGCAGGAGCTGCTGGATTATCTGGAGTGTATTTTTAGCAGCAGCACAAAGATCCCGTCAATCTCCACAAAAATCCACTTTAAGATGATTTTTAATTCCCAAATATGAAATCACACTAGAGCTGAAGTTAGTCCTGATATAACAAACTTCCTCATGACTAATTTATAAGTTCAGCCTGCAGATTTGGGCTCATGTTGACCTCTGACCTCAGCGTCTCTGCAAACTTCGAGATGATGTTCTTCAAGAGTACGAGAGGACGCCTCCTCTGTAACCGAGCACGGCCTAAAGCTTGAATAAAATTACATCTGATTGAGTGTGGAGAGCTTTTTACCGCCGATGGAGCGTACTTAGTGAGTGGAAAATGTGCTTACCCTGCTAATTATACCACATGACACAGATGGTTCTGAGCTGGGCTGGAAAAAACTCTGGAAATCAGCGCTGTGCCGCCGCCAAGAAAATGATTCTTTCACTCCAAAAATCTCTCAATGTTTCATCAAATGTCACCGATAGAAGTTAGTGTTTTCTGAGGAGCTCAAATAAAGATGGTTCGGCTTTAAAACGTGAATAAAGAAGTTTTTTTTTCTGTAATTTTCCAGTTTAAATGTCAGAGTGAAGCCGTCAGGCCCGAGGTCAAACTCTCAGACATGAGATTTAACATTTACAAAGGTGAAGAGAGAGGGGAGCGGACCGGGGCGGTGAAATGAAGCGTGTCGGCCTGGAAACAGAGCGAGCGCTCGTTACTGAGTCAGTCTGCTGCAGGTGAGTCACAGGTAAACAGGAGGCCAAGAAGAGGTCAGCGTCTGTGTTTGTCTGCAGAGACTCCGACTGAACCAACACCAGAACTCTGTGAAGATATAAATATGTGTTTATATGAAGTGACAGTTATTACCTCTGCTCTGTTTCCTCCTTTGATGAGAAAACTCACAGCAGATAAAAGAAGAACCAGGACTCCTCTGTGACACAGTCAGGGTGGACTTTCAGGACCTCAGTCTGATCTGGACCGAGACGGAGGGACATGAGGGGGTCTCTGAAGGTGGAGAGGTTTATCCGCTTTAAAGGTGTTGTAGTCAGGATCTGAGTTAGTTCCAGTTTTTAGGAGAAATCTTGACTGTAAACTCGACCCCTCCAACCAGTTTTCCCCTCAGCTCCTCCCCTCCCTCTCTTAAGCCCCGCCCACAAACAGACGCTCCTGCTCGCTCGTATCGTTCCAGTTAAATTCAGATATAATGCAGATAAATACTTCAGATCATTACAAATGGGGCCCAGTCAAGGTGAAAGTCAAAAGCATTGGTGCTACTGTAGATGCCAACAGACTACCAGCAAACACAATGTTTGCAGGACTTCTACAACGAGGATAAAGTGACATAGTCCAGGACCCGAGGGAGGACAGTTTAGCGATGGCGCTACAACACGCTACAGCAGGTCCGTTTGACAAGAAACACTTCTGTTACAGACACTTGTCTTACTTTGTTAAAGCGGTTTACCTGTCCAGCAGAAAGGTTACAGGGTCACCAAGATCCCCAAGCGTCCCCCATCGTTTATGTTGACCCGGCTTTTTAGCTCTTGTCCGGTCTACCTCCGTTTTAAGCGCCCGTTATTCCTCCAGAGTCTCCGGTATTTACTTTGTTTTCTTGCTTGTGTCGGCAGTCGTGGCCAAAGGAGGATTCCGACAATTTTCCGAACTTTCTGGTTGGTTTCTACTGTCCGATATTGTAGCACGCTAACTTTGTTTGGGCTCCTGAACGACACGGGGAGAGTCTGCCTCAACCAATCAGGTTAGAGGAGGTATCGATATATTACCAAATGTCATCAATAACAATAACTAATAACTATTGACTGATATTAGAAGAGTTTTTGTATTAAAACCACAAAATAAAAAGATGCTTCTTTAACGGTTTCCTGTCTACTCCACCTTTAAAGTACAGCAAAGTGTCGTCTGCATAACAAGATTTAAGGCGGGACTTCCTGTGATTGACAAGCTGACACTCAGGCTGTTTGAAGATGTTCGTGACCTGAAAAACACCTGAAGTGGATCAAAGAAAATCAGTCCTAGATGTGAAAACAGACTCAGACGGTCGGACCTCCTGATCCGTCTGAAAAAGGTCTTTGTGTCAGACCCGTATCTTTAAAACCGGATCATGATTCTGGGTTCAGTCCTGACCTTTTTCTCAGCAAACATTTACATTTCCTCGTTCTCTCCCTCTCCTCATGTTTGCTTCACCTTTGGTCGAGTTTTCTGGGGTCCCTCTGTAAACCTCGTTTGTTGTTCTCAGGGTTTCTTGATCCCTCTCCGGTATAAATCCGATCTTCCTTCAGCTCTTTATAAACTTTTCTCTCACAAACTCTGAATCAAACTTTGAGATTCAGTTTGCATCCGTTCATGCGGAGCCAGATCACCTTGACTCCTGCTCCTCCTCGCTCCGAGTCTGACTCTGTGTTTGATCCCCGCCATGATGGCGGCCTGCAGGCGTACAGCCGGAGCTTACTGTGAGTTACATCAGATACAGAGACTGACGGTCCGACCAATCGGAGCGAGGAGAGGACGACTTTAGGACATTTAAAATCTTTTTTTCTTCTTTCTCCAGATTTAGAAACCAGTGAACCCGACGTGAACCTGAGACCAGCTCTGACTCTGAAGTCTGAGAAACACAAAACTCATAAAGTCTGAAAGTTTGAAGAGTTCATGATTTCATTCAGTGACGGACAGAGAGTCTGAGAAAAGGGAACAAGAAAAAGGTTCCAGATGAAGGTCAAAGTCCAGGATTGAGCGATAAAACTGTCCTCGTCGGACTCTGAGGTTTGGGGAACTTTAGTCCTGATCTGGTCTCCATGATCCTGCAACAAAAACTGGTTCAGCTGAAGTACCAGCATTTACAAACTCATGGCATCTGTCAGGAGATCGACAGGCGGATCGGAGCGGCGTCAGCAGTGATGCGGACGCTGAACCGATCAGTGGTGGTGAAGAAAGAGCTGAGCCGTAAGGAGAGACTCTGGATTTACCGGTCGATCTACGTGCCGATCCTCACCTATGGTCATGAACTTTGGGTAATGACCGAAAGAACAAGATCGCAGATACAAGCGGCTGAAATGGGTTTCCTCCTCAGGGTGTCCGGGCTCAGCCTTAGAGATAGGGTAAGGAGCTCAGAGGAGAACCGCTGCTCCTCCACGTCCAGAGGAGACAGCTGAGGTGTTAGGACGCCTTCTGGATGCCTCCCATTAGAGGTGTTCCAGACATGTCCCACCGGGAGGAGACCTCGTGGTCGGCCCAGGACCAGGTGGAGGGATTATATCTCTCGCCTGGCCTGGGAGCGCCTGGGAATCCCCCCAAAGGAGGAGCTGGTGGAAGTGTCTGGGGTGAGGGCCGTCTGGGCTTCCCTCCTGAAGCCGCTGCCCCCGCGACCCGGACCAGGATGAAGCGGAAGAAAATGACGACAACAACATCTGTTGTTGTTGGTCTCAAAGCTTTTACAACAAAACCCTAAAAAGTCAGGACACTGTGTGAAATGTTGACCAAGAATTTAGATGTTTTTCTATTTCCTATATAATCCTCTCAACGTAGAAATGGAAATAATAGATGCTGCATCTTCAGTTTTGAACGATATCTCCAGGTTTCGGAGCAACATCTGAACATCTGCTGCCATCCAGACAAAGACTTTTTCAGGGAAGACCTTCATATTTCAACATTTGGCGGATCGATAATAACGAGTGACGACAGAGAAACTAAATCCACGTCAAACAGCAGACTGAGAAAAATCAGCTGTTTTTATTTATTACAGTTAATCTGAGAGATTAACCCTAAAACTTTGAACTTCACGTATTTTTAATGTTGTCAGTTTTTCGTCTCTCGGACCGTCCCTTCAGTGAATTCATCACATGACTATGAGACAGCGAGAGCGTCAGACCTGCTGCTGAGACTCTAATCTGAGCAGGAAATCATCGACACAGATATTACAGAGCTGCTCTATCATCATGTGTGCGTCTGTGCTAATCGCTGTGGGTCCATTAAATTAGCTGGAACACAGGGGGATACCGACTATTTCACACTGAGGGAGCATTTAAAGGCCTTTGTAATAATTTACTGCTGCTCTGGGCTTTTATAATCAGGTGATAAAAGCAATTAACCGTGATGGAGATAAAAACAGGTCCACCAGATCACTCTCCGACTGATTTCACATCATCGTAAACGTGGCGTGACTGTTTTTGTCGGATTGTATAAAAGTTTGAAAGTGACTTCAAAAACCAGGAGGATTCTGGGAGAACTTCCTCTAATCCTGAGTGTGTGTGTGTGTGTGTGTGTGTGGAGTCGAGCTGAAGGCTGATTGTTGAAAACAAAGAAATCAATATGACTCTGCGGCGTTTTCCCTCACTGCTGCACAGAATCAAACCCTGATATCTGCACTAATGAAAGCAGAATAAATGACCGAGTGTGTTTCTGTTCCTTTTCCTCTCCATGTCTAATGAACTGACCCACCCGTCCAGGTTATTGATCACATCAGCTGCAGGTATTTATAGGTTTACATGTCTTTATACTGCCTCCATCATGACAGACCTAAAGAGCGCGCTCTAGAATCGGACCCTCGGTCTGACCGATCGATCCAATTCATCCCGCACAAGCTCAACTGGAGAAAGGTCTGGAGACTGAGGGGGCCAAACCATCTTTTGAAGAACACCTTCCTCTTTATTTTTGTCGAGGTAACCCTGACAGAGCTCGGCAGAGTGCTTAGGGTCATTGTCTTACTGCAAAACAAACTGATGAGCCACAAGTCTGAGTCCAGATGGAGCAGCATGGTGCTGGAGGATGGAGTGGTACTGTTCCTTCTTCATGATACCTTTTACTTCAAACAAATCTCCTACTCCATCTCCTGCAAAACATCCCCATACCATGAGCTACCACCTCCATGCTGAATTGTGGGTGTAACACATGGAGCTTTCAGACGTTCAGACGCACATTTTTGCGGTAGTTTGATGCAGTTGAGATTTATTAGGATTTTTGTCTGCAGACTCTCAAAATACAAAAAGTTGAAGTGAATAATCCAACTGTGATTTGTTGGTTTTTTTTGCTTTTGCACTGCAGTTGTGACTCTTGTAAATGTTTTCAACCCTAAAACTAAGCCCTTATTATTATTTTTGCTGACATATATTTAGCAATGGTCTGTTAACATCGATCTATATCTAAAGGTAAATGGAGTAAAATGGTGAATTTCCGTGAAAGCAACATCCGATCATGGAGTAAATACATCCTAAAATACATCAAACTCATGCTGGACTTTAAAAAAAGACTGTGAACAAAAACTTGAAGTTACTCCCAACTGTTCGGCCTGTAGTGTATAAACAGGCTCACTGACTGATTATAAGACTGTAGACACAGCTGTGACGCTCATTAGTGGACACACCTTGAATCAATCTTGAAGACTTAAAAACAGGCAACTGAACTGTTGTAGAGTTGAAAAGACGTTTTCGCCTCTTATCCAAGAAGCTTCTTCAGTTCTAAAAGTGCTAGTGTCAGGAGCAGATATTTATCTTACTGGAGAAGGGGGACAGTTAACGACTGGCTGGAGTTGAAAAGAATGGGTCGTAGAAACCCATCTCTCGGTGTGTCCCCCCCAAGTCGTTATCCTGAAAGGGTCGTTACACACGTCCCTTTGGTCACATTACTTTCAGTCTTTTCTCGGGGTGCCATCATTTTTATCCAGACCTATTTAATAAGTTTGTTTTTTAAAATAATTCTGTTGATCCTCGGTTCAAAATCAATGTCGGATTTTCATTTGTTCATTTTCATAGAATTTTTATTGATTATTACTTTTGTCAGATTAAAGTTATTTCTCTGACCATTGTGAGTTTTTCTTGAGCAGAAAGCGGAGTCCCTGGACCTGTGGTCTCGGTCCAGTCCCAGAGACCCCCCTCTCTCTGGTTTCAGAGACTCTCCCAGGATTGGCTGCGTCACGTCTCTTTCCATCTCCTGATATTCAGAGGAGTCAGCAAAGTATTCATCACATTACCTGAGTGGTTTTATTTTTAGGATTTAGCTCTCCTCTGATTGGACCAGCGGACCTGAGCGAGGCGGCGGCGTTGGCGGCGGCGGTCCAACAGGAGGGTGCTTTAATAACCTTTGGCTGCGGTTCAGGAGGAGCACAGTCTGCAGTAATGGCTGCTGGCTGTGAATAAACTGAACCGCATCCAGGTCTGTGTCCTCTGGCTCTGTGACAGCTGCTCCACAGCCAATCAGACGGAGGCTGACTCACAGCGCAGGTGAGACTCCTGCTGGAGGAGAGCGTGTTTGTGGACCTGCAGAATCCACATCACATGGTTTCATACAGAGGAGACAAAGACGGACTCAGGGAGAGGGAGCGGGGGTCTGTTCAACACCTGTGGACCTCAAACTTCAGCTCATTAGCACGTCGTCCGACCACAGAGGCCGCCGCTCCGAATCTTAATGAAGACAGAACCTCTAATCGTCTGACAGCTGACCTCAGAGCAGTTCGCCGCTCTCATGTGTTTGAGGACATTTTCTTCTCTTTTAATTCATTTGATTTATTCAGACAAACACGACAGCTCTGAAACCGACAAAAAACCTCTGAGAGAGACGGACAAAAACTCTTCAAATATCAGTCAATCGTTATTAGTTATTGATGACATTTGGTAATATATCGATATCTCTGTGTTCTCTTATGTCTGTGTCGTCAACATTTGAACATTTTTGAGCGGTCCGCTCTTTCTGACTGTAAACAAAGCCGTTCTCCACCTCCTCTAACCTGATTGGTTGTGAGGCAGACGCTGCTCCCCCGTGTCGTTCAGGAGCCCAAACAAAGTTAGCGTGCTACAATATCGGACAGTAGAAACCAACCAGAAAGTTCGGAAAATTGTCTGAATCCTCCTTTGGCCACGACTGCCGACACAAGCAAGAAAACACTCAAACATAAACAGTCAACAAGAAAACAGTCAACAAGAAAACAGTCAACACCAAACTGGTCAACATGAAAACGGTCAACACCAAAACAGTCAACAAGAAAACAGTCAGCAAGAAAACAGTCAACAAAAAACAGTCAACAAGAAAACAGTCAACAAAAAACAGTCAACAAGAAAACAGTCAATAAGAAAACAGTCAACAAGAAAACAGTCAGCAAGAAAACAGTCAGCCAGAAAACAGTCAGCAAGAAAACAGTCAACAAAAAACAGTCAGCAAGAAAACAGTCAGCAAGAAAACAGTCAGCAAGAAAACAGTCAAAAAAGAAAACAGTCAACAAGAAAACAGTCAGCAAGAAAACAGTCAGCAAATAAACAGTCAGCCAGAAAACAGTCAACCATAAACAGTCAACAAAAAACAGTCAGCAAGAAAACAGTCAACCATAAACAGTCAACACCAAACCGGTCAAAAAGAAAACAGTCAACAAGATAACAGTCAACCACAGTCAACACCAAAACAGTCAGCAAGAAAATGCTGCTCCCCCGTGTCGTTCAGGAGCCCAAACAAAGTTAGCGTGCTACAATATCGGACAGTAGAAACCAACCAGAAAGTTCGGAAAATTGTCTGAATCCTCCTTTGGCCACGACTGCCGACACAAGCGAGAAAACAAAGTAAATACCGGAGACTCTGGAGGAATAACGGGCGCTTAAAACGGAGGTAGAGCGGACAAGAGCTAAAAAGCCGGGTCAACATAAACGATGGGGGACGCTTGGGGATCTTGGTGACCCTGTAACCTTTCTGCTGGACAGGTAAACCGCTTTAACAAAGTAAGACAAGTGTCTGTAACAGAAGTGTTTCTTGTCAAACGGACCTGCTGTAGCGTGTTGTAGCGCCATCGCTAAACTGTCCTCCCTCGGGTCCTGGACTATGTCACTTTATCCTCGTTGTAGAAGTCCTGCAAACATTGTGTTTGCTGGTAGTCTGTTGGCATCTACAGTAGCACCAATGCTTTTGACTTTCACCTTGACTGGGCCCCATTTGTAATGATCTGAAGGATTTATCTGCATTATATCTGAATTTAATTGGAACAATACGATACGATTTCTCCTAAAAACCTGAACCTCCTCAGATCCTGACTACACCACCTTTGATAATGGAGTCGGTTGGATGAGCAGAGTCAAAGAGCTTCAGTAAATCTCATCAGTCTAACATCTGTGTGATCCTGAAGAAGATTGGAGTTTGACCCATTTGACCTTCCCAGAATCCTGATTTAATGACGGTATTATTCATATTTGGGTTCATGTTGTATTGACCTCGTACCAGAACAAATATAAAAATGTTTAATAACGGGAGAATTGATGTTCAAACCTAAACTGTTCGGCCTGTTTTCAGACTAAATTGTTTTGTTTTTAAATGTGTGTCTCTGAGTTAAAACCATGAAATAAACATGAGTGTGAAAGTTTGCAGGGTGATGCTGATGTAGTCTCCAACGCCGCCCTGGATCCTGTGGTTAAGAAGAAAGATCATCAGTATGTAAATGAGCCCAGAAACCAACCCTGACATCCGTCCCACATTTGTTTTCGCTCCTCAGTTGAACTGCGGCGATAATGAAGCTGAACTCCCGGAAACAAACGTTGATGGAGTGAAAACTTTCGGCTTCCTCCTCTGCTTCTTTGTGTTTGTCTCGCAGCGTGGCTTCCAGCAGAGAGGGAATTAAAAAGCTTGTAAATGGTTTGCTTTTCCCCTCACAGCTGTTCTGCATGACAGAATCATCCAATAGCGTCGCTCCGAGCCGCTCTCCCAGCAGCCCTCCTGCTCAGACGGAGGCAGACGGCGTTCATTGTTTTTCTTTTTATTTTATATTTCACCGTCTTCTCCTCATTTCCATATCGGGCTCTCAGCGCCCAGCTGTGAACATATTCCCATAATCCTCCCTGATTATTACTTCCTCAGGTATCACCCTGCCTTAGGTTTCATTTCAGGATTTAGCGTGTTAAGCTAATTAAGCCGCCTCCCCGGTGACCCTTTTGAAGTCGAG